GTGCATTAAAACCGGGTGCATTAAAACCGGGTGCATTAAAACCGGGTGCATTAAAACTAGGTGCATTAAAACTGGGTGCAGATGGGAAAGTAAGACTTAATCCCTATTTATCCAATAAATTGAATGCTTCTTAAGTTTTGTAGAAAGCTTGTGGAAGCTGCAGAGGAATCTTAAGCTGCTGTTCCAGAAAAGCATATTGATTTAATTTTGTGTCAATAATTTGATCCATGTGATTGTAACCACACACCCACAACGGAACAGGTTGTTTAAGAGTGTTTATAAGAGGGAAATATATATATATATATATATATATATATATATATATATATATATATATATATATATATATTATTAGAAGCCAAAACGTCACATTAATTTAAAAATTCCAGTTTAAACTGTGTCCAAAAAGCTCCTTTTATTTATTAAACTGATCGCTGCGTCGATATCTGTTCAGTCTATCTGTGGGCGGGGTTTGGAACGAGCGCTCGCGTGGCGGAGTCAGCTGCTGGCACGCGCCCTAGAACCCTCGCGGAGAAAGTTTTCAACGCCGCTCTGTTGTCCTGATGCGCATGCGCACAGTGGATTTAAACTCGCAGCGGAGAGTTTTCTTTTCACTCGGACGTTTGCGTCGTCTGTAAACCGACATGTAGCCTCCTGCTCGGGCTCTCGTGTCTCTTTTAATGTAGTACGTTTTGTTTTTAGGCCATATTTTAACCGGATATCTTCGTTTCGGGAGCTGCCGTGCGTCTGGCGGAGCTGGTTCGGTGTCCGGGAGTTTCGCGGTGGCCGCCGGTGCGGAGAGGACACAGAGGCGGGATGTTGGCCACGCTCCGGCGGTCGGCAGCTCTCTGGATCACCGCTGTGCTCCTCCTGTGTCGGGTGGAGGCGCAGTACTCCAGCGACCAGTGCAGCTGGAGAGGGAGGTGAGGATGGAGCAAATTAATGAAAGATATTGTTTATTAAACAGTTACACCGAAATAATTCGCTTAACGCGTCTGATCACCGTAGAAAGGCGGAGTGGGCTAGCATTATGTAGCTAATACTAACAAAGTTATCACTTAAAAGGTTTGCGTTAACAAATTATTTTAATTGTATGAGCTTTTAAAGAATTATCACATTATACCAACATCATGTGTCTGTTTAAAAGTGAATAAAGTCAAATGTTAGTTTAATAAATGTCCTAAATCTCCTTTAAACAATGTGAAAACGAGTCATCCTTCATGAAAATTGGCAATATACAATAAAACAACAGTCTGGTTCAATTAATCAACCAATCAGTTTATTTATTTAGCACACTTTGCTGAAAAAGTCTTTTTAGCATTTTCAGGAAAATCAAGCACCTTTTTGTTGGAGCAAAAGTTCAAAACCATGCCATGGCTATCCATTACATAGAAATTAAACAACTAGATGACAAATGCACTTCTGGGTACTTTTTCTTTTTATGGTCAATTCAGATTCCCAGTACTCCACCCCACTACCAAAGAAACACTAAATATTTTAGTCTGCTATGTAGGAAAAGCACTAATTCGTTGATCAAATCCATATTTGCAGCTGAGTCAGCTCCTCTGAGAGAAACACACCTGAAACTTTTCTGTTGGCTCAATTCAGAATTTTAGATGTAAAAAAAAAAAGTAGAGAAATTGCATTTCCTGCAAAACTGCAATGTGACTGCTTATTGCTGAAGAACTTGCTGGAAAAAACAGCTGAAATTGGCTAAAAACATGCTGAAATGTAGCTGAAATGGAAGAAAGAAGCTTAAACTACCAGAAGGAGTGAAAAGAGCTGAAATGAACTTAAAAAAAATGTGGAATTAGCTGAAAAAGCTAAATTTAGCACAAAACTGCTAAAAAGTAGCTTAAAGCAGCATAACAAGCTAAAACTAGCAGAAATAAATTAATTAGGCTGAAAGTAGCAGACCATGAAAAACTTGACTTAATCTTAAAACAGCTGAAATTAGCTAAAATGCTTTTAAAAGTAGCTGAAACGGTAGAACAGGCTTGAATTAGCAGAATACTGTAAAGCAGGAATGAGCACAAAAATGTGGAAATTATCTGAAAAAGGCTGAAATGAGCAAAACAAACCAGCTGAAAAGTAGCTTAAAAAGCAGAAAAGAGCTTAAATTACCAGAAGGAAGTGTAGAGCCCATTTTTGTTGAACTAAGCTGAAAAAAGTTCAAATGAGTGCAAAAAATGTGGAGCTTGCTGAAAAAGCTTAAATTGGCATAAAAACAGTTATATAGTAGCTGAAATAGTAGAAAAGGCTTAAACTTGCAGGAATGAGCTGAAAGGAGCATAACAAGCTGAAATTAAAAAGAAGAAAATAGAAGAAGCACAAAAATGTTGTAGTTTGCAGAAATAATCTGAAAGGAGCCCAAAACTGCTGAAATTAGCTGAAAATAGCCGAATAAAAGTTTAAATTTACACAAAAAAGCTGAACAAGGTGCGCCAACACCAAAAGTCGTAGCAGGATTGTCTTGAAGGAGCTGAACGTTTTGATTTATGATTTGTACAAAATTGTATTTTGTAGAGCACGAAAGTTGTGGAACGAGAAAAATGCCAAAAACGTACAGAAGAAAAATGGATCACAATGCTTCATAAACATCTGCTCCCTTTTCTCTACTGTTTGTGGCAGAATGCAATAAATTTAATGTCATCTTAAATTTCTTTTAATTTCTCTTCTAAGGAAAATGACGCCCATAACAAGCAGTTAAGACAAAGTTCTCCAAATGCTCAAGACTCTCCTGCAGGATTCGACTAGAGGAATGTCGTTCTCCGGTCCTTATCTTGAGTAAATACAGCCACATGTCGCCTTTGATCACTCTTTCAAGTCCCCGAGTCATAAACAATAAAAGCTTTACTTTGCGTTTCGTCATAAAGTTCACTCGCGTCAGATTTCCAACGATTTTAATCAGCTTGTGGGAGTTGTTCTCGTTAATCCACACCAGAGACAAGCGTAGGGTTTGTTTGCCAACACCTGTCAGAGTTGCTCCAGTTGGGTTGAAATGAATCCCCTGAATGTTTATTTAACTTTGCGTGTCGCTTGTGGTCATGTTAATGTTTTTAGGCCTCTGAAAACTTGACACGGATTATTCATCAAGTCCTTTTCTGTAGTGAATTTGAATTAACCTGCCTTTCTCCTTTTCTGCAGTGGTTTGAGCCATGAGTCTCATCGTAGAGACGTGGAGCAGGTCTACCTTCGCTGCTCTCAGGGGTCTCTGGAGTGGCTCTACCCCACTGGGGCCATCATTGTCAACCTTCGACCGAACACAGAGCCCTCATGGGGACGCGCAGCAGGGGTTCATGCGTGCATAAAGCCCCAGCCGTACTCCCAGGTAAATGAAGATACAAACCACGGCCAGGATGCAAATTTGGTTGATTTAGGCCCTGCTTACGCAACGCAGTAGCGTGGAACATTGCTGTTGCGTTTCAGCTGTTTGTACTCGTTTTCTCTGACATCCAAACCTTTTGAATCCAGGTGTCAGTGTGGAAGTTTTTGGAAAACTGCACTGAACGCCACAGGAAGACCTTCCTCCCTGTGGTTATCAAACTTTTTAACTCCTCACCCTTTCTACACAGGGGACAATAAAAATGAACCCTGCACTACAATAAACACTTCAATGTTTCTGTCTGCACCTGACCAGTGTTACCTCTCTGTTTGTTTCTTGTGTGATTCCTTGTGTATGTTCCTTTGTATTGAAACTTTGGCAAAACAATTTCCTGCAGGATCAGTAAAGTTCTATCGTATCTGATCTCTGATGTGAAATTGCGTGGTCGCTCTACGGGCATCTAGTCGATTAGTTTTTCTATGCTCGCACGAGTATCTGAACAGCTGTAACCATGGAGGATAGCAGAGCGTCTGACGTGGAACAAATCTGCTCTACGCCATTTCTTGAGATGGCGGTTGATCCAAACAAACGTCCGTGTACTCTCCATTTTGGATGTACAGTAGTCCCTCACTTATCGCTGGGTTACGTTCACACACCCCTGCAATAGGTGAAAATCCATAAAGTAGGGACATTAAACTTATTTTAGTATATATATATATATATATATATATATATATATATATATAAAGGCTTTATAAACTCTTCCCACACTCTTGCAATGTTCTAAACTCTTAAGCCTACATAATTTTAACAACATACATATATGTACTGTACAGTACTGCTAAATTTACATGGGTACTCACCAGTGAAGATAATACAACTTGAAGGTTGAGTTCAGCTTCAGGATTATTTGTGACTTTCCTGCCAGTTCTGTGAGCTTAATAGCTCAATCGTTACTTCTGACTTTGCGTTGCAAAACTATTTTTACCACATTGACCTCTCCGCTAGTGTTTGCTCCCTCCATTGCTGTTCTTTGAATATCGGCAAGAAGCAGCGGCTGGGTGCACTGTTGGCTTCTGGGCCGTGTACCGTATTTTCTGCCGTAAACGTCGTACCGTCCTATAAGTCGCATCAGTCCAAATACGTCTGATAAAGTGGAAAAATCCATAAATAAGTCACTTCGCCATATACGTTGCATCTATTATGCATCACCACTGACAACACGGAAATGTTGGCTGGTGTTGTGCCAAAAATCGATGGGCTGCCAAATGGCGGGAGCATGCACGGGAGGACTTTAACAAAAATTTAACAAGATTAACACTTAAAAACAATTATTTGTTTGCTTGAAATTACAGTAAAGGTGTGTCTGTTTAACTTTTGCTTAATAAATGCACTTTGACGGTCAAATCAGCTGCATTTCGCCGGGGCAGCGCAGCGAAATGAAGCTGATTTGACGGTTGCTGCAAGCAGAACGAAGGTGGCAGCATATGGCAAGCCGATTGTGTCATTAATAACCACTTTTACCTATTACATAATACAACGGCATGCCGTAGTACTCTGGTGCCATCTAGTGGCTGAAAATGTTAGTGTTCAATATTTTCAGTCAGAATGAATGAAAACGGTCATATCTCAGTCAAAAATTGGTTTATAAATATGGGGGGAAATCCATAACTATGTCGCTTCAGCGTATATGTCGCAGGGCATGTAAAGTAAATTATGCAAAAAACCGCGACTTATAGGGTGAAAATCACGGTAGTTCTTTTGACTTGCGTTACAGTATACAAACAGTAAACTTTACAAAAGACAAAAGAAAGAAAACTACAAAATGGCAGCGGCTGTCCAAAGCTTTTTTTGTTTCGTTTTTGTTTTTTGTCCTATTAGTTGGTGTCTGCTCCCATTAACATTTTATCCCATACTGTCCCAATCACGTGAGTAATATTAAAGTTAACAATCGTGTGTCATGTACAATCTTACGTTGAAAACCCGCGAAAGAGTGAGTCCGCTTAAGTCGAACCGCGAAATATCGAAGGACTACTGTAATTGTTTTCATGCTCGAGGCTGAAGTGGTTGCGAACATGTGTGTGCCATGTGTGTGCCATTCAAATACAAAACTTACAGCACCAGCTCGTGTCCTGGCCTGGAAACGACAGCGGATTCAATGTTGTGGTCTCGTCTAACCATTGCCGTGTGCACGTGTAACGGTTTCACAGTCAACATTGGAAAATGTATCAGGTTTCCAGGAGACAACTTGTGTAAACAGGGTCTAGTCATTTGTCACAGTAGTTTTCTGATTGGCTCCTATTTTCTTTGTTCAGGGTTCTCATGTGTATCTGGAGCGTGAAGGAGACCTGCAGATGCTGCTTGCAGAGAAGGAGCAAGTTCTGGGCACGGTGCACTGTTTCAGCCTGGCAGAGGGGGCTCTGTTTGTGGAGGCCATCCCACAGACAGACATCAGCAGGAGGATCACCGCTTTCCAGTATGAGCTGGTGCCCCTCCAGGGACCAGGGGCCCACATGTACCCATACCTGCATCCTGCTTCAGGTACAGGAAATCAATTATTCTGCATGTCCGAGATATTTATGTGTTTTGTTTTCTGCAGACAAAGCTCCTCAGCTGTGACAGTTTCACTTTCATTCTAGTTTTTAAACAAACTTGATGCAAGTTATAAACATTTGTTCTCTCACAGCAATGAGAAAAATGGAAAAAAAAAATGTTTATATTTAAAAGGGATTTTCCAAATGTTCAATAATTAATACGTAGTGAAGATGACGACGTAATGCAGCACGGTGGCGCAGTGGTTCATACCTGCAAACTTGTCGCTTTTCGGCGAAATTGGCTGATTTCAAACTAAAATATGTCATTTACGTGAATCGTGTAGATCCAATGAGTTTTTTTTTTCCTGGGGGAGTGGGGGGTGTCAGAGGCGTGGGTGGCATAATTTCCCTTTAAGAAACAGTGTTCCTCCGTGCGCTCATCTCTTCATGTTTTTTTTTCTTGTTGTTCACGGGACGGATGTAGGAGGGAGAGACACCTCGGTGTTGTGAGTTACAGCTTTTTTAGTGTGGGGCAGTTTGGGGGGGGGGGGGGGGGGGGGGGGGGGGGGGGCAGTTAGCGGAGTGCTATATCTGTAGCATCTTAGCTAGCATGACTGTGTTGCGCGCAGCTAGCGTAGCGCTGCATCAACATTTGAACAATGTAGCTGCCACATACACCAAAATTTGCAAAGTCCACCTGATGGTGTTATAGAGAATAACTTGAAGGAGAAAGAACACGAGTTTTCTGGAAAGTAAAATTGTTAAAAATCAGTGATGGGGAAGGAACAGTGGAAAGGAAAACAATGGGAGAAGGAGATAAATGTTATTCCATGTGGCTTGTGAAGGAAAGGAGAATTAAAGTTATGAAGTGGTAGAAATTGTGGCACCAAGGTAGGAAGGAACCTGTAAATTATTTAGTTTTAATTATTACATGCAGGATGACAAAACTGACTCGTTTTTTTTGTGTGTGTCACTATTGTAGTGCACAGTGTAATTTAGTGTTGTGAAGGCTGCTGCCATGTCATCTGTTAAATGTAGGTCTATCACTAAATCAGAAAACAGTAAAATGTCCCTCAAAATTCACTGCTGGTGGTTGTTAAAATATTATTTGCTGTGTAAAGTTAATATTCTTATTTTTAAACATGCCGTTCAGTGTCACCATTGCTGAGCACAATGGCAAGTTGTGTTACAAATAAAACTACATCAAAACTAAAAGTGAAGTGCACCCCATAGTCATTGTTTAAGATAAATTATATCACATTAATTTCATTATCTTAGCCACAGGAGTGTGTTTAAAACAAAATGATGGACTAGTTGAACGAGGAATCTGTCTCTAAAATACTTATTGAACCAAGTGTTTACATTTGCAGGTAAAAGCAGATGTTTAACAACCCATTACATTACTCCAGAATGCAGGAAATGAAATCTACTTTATTAAAATTTTGTAATGTGCCCCCCCCCACACATTACAAATGCTTCTGACGCCCATGATGAAAGAGGTGCGAGCAGTGGAAACAGGCCCTTGAAAGGCTTGTCCAGGCCTAAAGACATTTTACTCAATGAGCATAAAGCTCTGGTTTCTCTGGTTGGTTCGCTGCCGTTGTTGCTTGTTTGTTATTTTTTGGTTGATGCCGTCTTTCCTCTGTATGTCCTAATTCAATTTAGATAAGTGAGTAAATGACTTTTGACCTGAAGCATGTTGTCTTTTCCCCTAACTTTCTTCTTGGAGTGTACCAGAATGCACATGTTAAAATATCACAAACCCTTCTGGGGGGGGGGGGGGGGGGGGGGCGCTAGGTTTGTCACCTTTTTCATCCCTTGTGAGTTTGCAGGTTTGTAATTTAGGCTTGTTCTTCCTTTTCAGCTGAAATTCACCATGTGTTTTAGCCAATTTCATCCGTTTCTCATCAAGTTCTTCATTTCTGCAGGAAATGCACTTTCTCTAGTATAGAAATTATGTTTGCGATGAATAGACCTTTATTTTTTTTAGATCAAGTATCTTGTTTCAGATCTTTATCTTGCAGGTCTCTCTTGTAAACGAGTCCTCGTGGCTCGATGAGACTAACCTGTATAAATGAAAATGTATCTATACGATATTGACTTTTTCATAAATGATCTCTGGTCCTTTTGCTGGTGTTACTGGGACCTCTGACAGACATGCGGTTTAAAGACGAAGAGGCGTTTTAAATATATATTTTATTTCTTCACCTCTCCTTCTTGAAACTCCTCCCCCATCCCCTCACCCCTTATGTCAGGCACACGGATGAAAACAAACAGGCCGATCAAAAAGTCTTGTCGGGGTCACACACAGAGGTCAGACAGTCCTCCCTCAGCTGCCAGTCAAAACCGTAACCCCCTCCTTCCTGCTCCTTCAAACACGAGTTCTGTGTAGCCCACCCGCCACGACTGAAGGGTTGTGGTGGGGGAGGACACGACCTTCCTTATAACGACAGAGAAAAAAGCTTCCCCGCTGAAGTTTCCTGTCCGAGTGTGTGTCTGGTGTTTTATAGCTGTTTTTATAGCTGCCGGGGTCAAAGGTTAATTCTCTGGATGAGCCTGGTTTTTCTCTCGTTCACTCACCTGCTTTGTCCAGCCACAATCTCGTTATTTTGTGATGTCTCATAAACGCCCTCCGCCTTGTGAAACAACACAAAAAAAACCAGGAAACAAAGTTTGAGACGACGTCTTTAGATGAATTAAAAAGCATCCATAAAAAAATCAGAGCGTGCTTTTGAAGATAAAAGAAAACAATTAATGTTAATTTGTCTTTTTGTGTTTTCTCATTTTAGTTTCCTGTAAACCCTGTTCAGATGAAGAGGTCCTCGTGGCCGTGTGCTCCAGCGACTTCGGTAAATGTCACTCATCAGTTACTCAAAAAGAGTAGTTTTAGTTAAAAAAACATCCAGTAGTAGTCCCTCGCTACTTCGCGGTTCGTTTATTGCGGACTCGCTCTATCGTAGTTTTTCAAAATAAGATTGGACACTGCACAGATTGATTGATGGATGAGCTGCACGATCGGCATTTTATTCAACATAAATTATTTTAAAGTATTTAGCACCAGCTGCACCTCTGTGCAGCCCAGAGCTTTAGGATAAAGTTCCTGCTGCAGCTGATCAGCTGTTCTCCGTGCAGAGTGAGCAAAGTGGGCGTGGCCGAGAGCGCTCGCAGGTAGCTGAGAGCAGCTGAGGCAGGGAGCTGAAATCATGACGTTCTGTGCTCTTTTAGAGCGTTTAGAGTTTAGAAACATTGTTTAGAATCTTGCAAGAGTGTGGGAAGGGTTTAAAATGCCTTATTATTTTTTTTAATATTAAAATAAACAACTACTTATTACTTGTACTACTATTCCTACTTTGCGGTATTTCACTTACCACGGGGCTTCAGGGCACGAATCCCCTGTGATAAACAAGGGACTACTGTGCTCCTACTCCTTATCTGCCAAGAACTGTATCACAGAAGTGATATTGCGCTGTTTGTTAGCCAGCTGACTGTTCGGAATTGGAAACAAGACTTAATGAGTCCGACGTCATTTCATTAATTCCTGCAAAATGTGTCATTAAACTATCTCACTGTACTGTGTGCCAAAATCTTTAAAAAGAACCTGCATGATCTGTTAGTGCTCAGAGTAGGAGTTAGAGATAACTGTCACCTTCTACCACAACAAATTTTAGCTCAGCATTTAAAATTGGCTGATTTATAGACATTTTCTCATGTTAACTAAGGTTGAGTAACTGTGGCAGCCATCTTGCATCATTGTAGATTTACATTCAGTGATTACTTTCCCAAAGTTTCATTCAAATCTGTCTAGTGGATAACGAGATATGATAAAAGGCAGACTAGTTCAAGTTCAAGTAGGTTTATTGTCATTCGCATCACATGTGGTACATGAGGTGGAACAAAATTGTACACAGGGTCCCAGTTACACCCAACAATAGCAAAAATATAAAGTGAAAACGTAACAGCACATAAGGATCTAAGGTATAGACTAAACAACAGCAGCCTGAACATGAGTCTGTGGTGAATGAATGGGTACAAATGAATACAGCAGCATGAGATCAGCAGCATGGATGATCAGCAGCTTAACAAGCACAGGCAAAACTATTATCACCTTCCTTTCATGGCAGCAGGCAATTAAAAAATAAACTGAAGGAGGCTTATGAAGTTATTAGACCTTTATCAGCCAGGAAACAATAAAAATTGCAGCTGTTCTAATCTTTAAAATAAATCAAGTTGACAGTTGTTTCCTTTATCTAATCTAATTCTTATTATTGTAAGACTGATTCTCGTGTGTTTTGCTTGATTACATATCCAGATCTGCAGCAACTGTAGTATTGTATAAATAAGTCAAATTCAGAATAATGATTTCACGGTTTTTGGTGAGTTTCCATTTCTAAGGAGCTCTGAAGTTGTTCGGAGCACGTCCTGTTTGTGAGCTGAAAGAAGAGTAAAAATAATAAAAGCAGCCATTTGTCGACAGGACCTCACAGTTACAGATGTTCCTGTGGAAGTGAGCTCAGTTGCAGCTCGTGCCACTTACTGTACGTCGCAGTGTCCTCAAGGTTTGGACAAGTTCTGTGATATTTATCTGGTTTCTCCACACAGAACCTGCCTTGTGCCAACGTCACATTTCTTAAAGACTAAGACTGTATTCAAATCAAAACGTCTGATTACACTGAGTTCATTTTAGCCTCTTTCCCTTCTATTCACCCTCTCCCACCTCCGTAGCTGGCGTTGGTGTGTTTCGAGGCGTGGCATCAGGTCCAAGCGAGCACTCCTTGGTTGTGGTGACTCTCAGTCGGCTGTTTCGTCAAAAGAGCGGCGTGTTCGCGTGGGGCGGAGCCAGAGGACGGGGCTGGAGTGGACGTGTGAACGTTCCCGGACGTTGTGGCGTGCATCCAGGACAGGACGAGTACCTTCTGACCGGATCCACCCATTTTAGTGAGGCATGGCTCGGCTGTGCACCTCGCTACAAGGACTTCTTGAAGCTGTACGCCGAAGCACTGAACACAGGGACGAACCCTTGTCAAATAGACACGAACTGAAATTTATTTATGGCTTTAGATAAAACTTCAAGAGTTTCAGTATTGTGCAGCCGAAGAGGCTGAACGCGCTGCTTCTGACTACATTTGTGCACTGCGTGTGTAACTTCATTGGTTGTTCAAATGTGTGCAGAAGCAGCAATGAATGAGTGAATAATTCATGCACATTTCATTAAGTGCCTAACTCATCAGCGGTTCTCGTGGTGATGATACTGCTCACTGATGAAATGAAAGTTTGCTTTGTAAAAAGCTTTCTGTAAAAATTCCAAGTCTTCTGTCAGAAGTGAATCGTACGCAGCTCTGTGAGTCTTTATGTACTGAAGTTGTGAGTTTTGCTAACAAGCTTTAAAGGTCTCTGCATATTTACAAAAAAATAAATTCAAGTTCTGTTGACCAAAGTTATTGTGTGTTCGGTCTATGACTTTGCTTGTGAGAGCACCAGAAAGAGGCTTGTTTAAGTAAAAACATTTAACGTTAGGACAAAAAACTGAAAGACTATCGGATGCAAACAAAGACGTATTATCCCACTAAGAAGAAAAATCCATTCGGAGTGTTCTAGCAATGTGCTGGCAGGAGAGCTGGAGTGCGTCAGAGCTTTCGCTGCTCTGCTGAGCCATTTTTCTGGTTGGCATTCACTTTCACTGCATGTCTGAATGTCCATTCACCGCTGAACGAGACGAGAGGCGATTCATTTCAGAACGAACCGATTCAAGAGGTGGTGTGCAAATATTTTCCTCTCTTAGTTTCACAAAACTTCCTTTCCTTTTAATAGTCAAACTGTTGACGACTGATGATGTATAATACAGAATAGGTGTTAAATGTGCCTGTCAACAGCCGGAGACACTTTCAGGTGGATGACTGAGATGGACGGTTCAACGTTTAAGGGTTGAGTTGAAACAGGATGTGAGTGACCTTAAACGGCTGGACGCGCACCTCTCCCTCCGCCTGCTGTCAACAGGAGTGTGTGGGATGCTTTCTCTCCTTCCTCAGGAAGAGCAAGTATGGATGGAATGTCGCTTTCCTACACACACACACACAGGTTTGTCTTGCTGTCTTTATGGGGACTTTGCATTGACTTCCATTCATTTTCCATTCATTTCTATAGCCTAACCCTGACCCTTACCCTACACCTAACCATTACATACCTTACACTAAACCTAACCATTACCAGTACATACCTTACCCTAAACCTAACCATTACCAGTACATACCTTACACTAAACCTAACCATTACCAGTACATACCTTACCCTAAATCTAACCATTACCAGTACATACCTTACCCTAAACCTAACCATTGCCAGTACATACCTTACCCTACACCTAACCATTACCAGTACATACCTTACCCTACACCTAACCATTAACAGTACATACCTATTCATTCAACCTTTATTTAGACAGGTAAATCCTATTGAGCCCCGAGGACTCATTTACAAGAGACTGATTTCAACAAAGAATGATGAAAACAATGGACAACAGCGACGACAATAGACAGTTATAAAAAAAAAATTAAAAACCTAACCCACCAACGACACTTGAACCTTATGGGGACAGGGTTTTGGTCCCCACAAAGAGCAGTTGGTCCTCACAATGTAGTATGTGTTCAAAAATGGTCCTCACAAAGTAACATCAACAAGCGCACACACACACATAGATGAGGGAGCTTCAGCCATCCGTACATATCAGATATTGGCTTCTCAGATCACACTGTTGGTTGGTTCACAAACTATCTCTCAGGTCGGAGGCAATATGTTTGACATAATGGTACTTCATCTAGCTATCTAACAGTCACCAATGGTGTGCCACAAGGTTCAGTTTTAGGTCCCACTATTTTTACAATTTACATAAATAATGTAGGTCAAAGCATTCCTGACGCATCCTTGCATCTCTCTGCCGATGACACTGTTGTCTATTGCTGAGCTAACACAGTTGCCAAGGTTTTTCAGCTTCTACAGTCTGCATTTGAAATCATTCACTCAGACTTATTCCATCTCAAAATTCAATTCAAAAATACTTTATTAATCCCAGAGGGAAATTAAGTGTTGTCGTAGCTCATCATCCTGGTTTCATTCAAGAGTTGTTATAGATGCTGATAGCTGTGGGCAGGAAGGATCTCCTGCAGTGAAGCCGAAGAATATGGCCACAGATACCGATCCGTCCACCCAGATCCAGCTTGCTGTCTGATCCGGTGAGCCTCTTGGTCCTCCCGGGCAGCAGGATTGCCCGAATGCCAGGCAGAATTCCTCCCTGAGTGATGGTCACTCCTCCTAGCAGTCTGGAGAGCTCCTCACAAGTCGAGTTTCTCACCAACTCCAGGAGCTCGGTGGTCAGGTACTTGAGCACTGCCGCCGGGTTGACGGGAATTCAAGGAAATTTAAGCTGGTGCTAAATGATGACAAAACCAAAGGGATGTTGTTTTGCAACAGAAAGTCTGTGCCAGCAACTCTTCCTCCTATCTCATACATGCTTGGTGTTCCTATTGAGTTTGTAGATTCTTACAAATATTTGGGAATTTTGGTCGATGCATATCTCTCTTTTAAACCGCATATCAAAAACTTGATAATGAAACTGAAATTAAAACTGGATTTCTTTTTCAGAAATAGTTCTTGCTTAACTCTGAATGTCAGGAAATGCCTTGTAACTGCTACCTTCCTACCAACTATTGACTATGATGACATTATTTACATGAATGCCCCTGCCAGCTGCTTACAGATGTTGGATGCTGTCTATGGTGCTTAACTGGTACCATACCCATCACTACACTCTGTACTCCTTGGTCAGTTGGTCATCATTATCTACATGTAGGCCCTCACACTGGTACATCTTCATCTATAAATCCTTTCTTGGTCTGCTGCCTTCTTATATCTCCTCCCACATGTCACGCTGTCAGTGCAGTTACAACATGCGCTCTCAGGCCATCATTACCTGCAGCGTTCCCTCACTGCAGATCCCCCAGGAGGAGTTGGGGAGTGTGGCTGGGGAGAATGATGTCTGGATTTCTCTTCTGGACCTGTGGCCTCCATAACCCAGCCATGGACAAGTGGTAGAAGATGGAGATTGTTATCTTGAAACTGTGCGTCAGTTGTGATTTTAGCCTCATTTGGGGGGGTGCTCATGCACCCCTAAATTGTAACAGCACCCCTGAAAAATCAAGAAACCGTCATTACGATTTTGTAAGGAAACTCAATTCTCAAACCTTAGCTTCACCAAAATATTGAATAAGTCCAGAAAAAATTGAATACATGATGACACTTAAACGGGACTTAAATCTATGATTGTTGTTGCACAAGTCGGATCCTCAACGCCAGCTGTATCAATCTAGTAGGTTTGTCAGCAACTGATCAATCGGTGACCTCAACTTGTCCCGAAGTGAAACACCCCTTAACTGCAGGAGCTGGGGGTGGGTTGTGTGAAAGAAGTGGAGCGCTACGTCTGTAACATCTTAGCTAGTGCATTGTGCGCCGCAATACAGTTGTCGGCAGTTGCCGACCGTGAATGGGGGGAGGGGGTGTAAGGATGTGTGTGAGAAGTGGAGTGTGCTCTATTCACACAAGGAGAGCTGTTGGTCAGGCTACTTCTTGTTGCTCTCTAAAATACTGTAGTTTTTTAATCAAGTTTTTACTTTTGTAGGTAAATGTAATGTTTAACGACCTGTTAAAATACACCAGAATGCAGGAAATGGCATCTACTTCATTGGAAATTTTATGGGGGAGGACCCCAAGATCCCTCCCACCAGTGCCCCCCCCCCCCCCCCCCCCACACACACACACACCCACATATTAAAAATGCTTCTGATGCTAGTGGCCACCGCGTTGTTCAAGCCAACTCTTAGCAAAATGTAGTTTATTTAAGTATAAGTATACTTATTTTACACTAAAAATGAGGAAGTGTACTTGAAGTTTACTTTTTATAAACTTTATTTGATATACTTAAAAATAGCATAAAAATGTCCCAATTTAGTCCAAGCAAGTATTAAATCAAGGCAGCACGGTGGCGCAACTGGTAGAGCTGCTGCCTCTCAGCGAGCAGGTCCTTGGTTCAAACCCCGGTCCAGAGGATTTCTGGGTGGAGTTTGCATGTTCTCTCCGTGCATGCGTGGGTTTTCTCCGGGTACTCCGGTTTCCTCCCACAGACCAAAAACATGCATGTTAGGCTGATTGGTAACTCTAAATTGTCCCTAGGTGTGAGTGAGAGAGTGAATGGTTGTTTGTCTCTATGTGGCCCTGTGATGGACTTGCGACCCGTCCAGGGTGTACCCCGCCCCTCGCACAGTGACTGCTGGACATGGGCACCAGCGACCCCCGTGACCCAAAATGGAATAAGCGGGTAAAGATAATGGATGGATGGATGGAAGTATTAAATCAGTATACTTCTAGTACACTACAAGTATGGTGTGTAGTATACTTGATATACTTATACTTAACTTAAATTATACTTGCAAAAATAAACGTCAAATGTACTACATTTTGTTAAGGGAATAGCCTGTCAGCACTGGGGGCTAAGCACCCCCTAAAGGTCAGATTCTAGAATCTTTGGCTGTGCATGCAGGTTAGGAATAACCAGGAAGTTTTATTCATCACATTTGTATGATGCATGGTTAGTGGCTGGATTAGCACAACTCAAATGAAAAAGAAGCATTCCCTGAATAAATGTATGTTACCCACGCTTGTGCATGCTCTAGTTATAAACAAAGATCTCTTATCCCTCTGATTATATGTTTTGGGATGACTACAACACTGTTAGCTAAATATCTGTATTTTTGTCCTTGCCAAGGTTTGTTAGCTTTAGCTGCTATCTTTAATGAGGTTAGCTCCTAAAGGTAAGCAGTTACAAATTGACATTCAGTGGTTATTTTCTAAGAGATTCTGTAAAATCCATCCAGTGCTTCATGAGATATAGGTAATAACATGATTTTCCAGTTTTCATGGTGGCAAAATAAACGATCTATGAGCTGCTGTTTTGTATTTTGCCCAGTTTGCCTGCCTGTCGGTCACTGCAGAACCTTTTGAAGAGGAATTTAACGTGACAGGATCTGAAACTGGGTGCTGCAAGCAGAAGGTTTTGCAACCATGCTTGAACAGAGTTGGTTATCAAAACACTCTCCCAAAAACCGAAGAAGCAGTAAGGTGGTACTAAGTGTCCGTATGAATGAATAATAAATAAAGTGTTTACTTTATTTCATCAGTTCCTGAGCACACTCAGACAGGTCCTGGTCTGAAAATATGTCGATCCAGAATAAATCATTTCAGGCCAACGTGCAGGAACTGTCAGAACCTGTGCATACATACAGGTACTGTTTCCTTATTGTTTTTAAACGATTTTTGTGTTTTTGTAAAAATCATACTTTTTAACTTTTTGAAACCAATTCTTAAAACCGTTTAGAATCTCAATGAATAAAAACAATCAAATTGGTAATTTTACAACATATTTCTTAGTGTAAAAAAACACAACTGAAGTTCCATCCATCCATCCACTATTCCAACCAGCCAGTCAGCCGGCCAGACAGCCATTTATCCATCCAGCCATCCATCCATCCAACCAGCCAGCCAGCCAGCCAGTCATCCATCCATCCATCATCCATCCACTATT